GAAGACGAGTGGGTAAAAGTGTTTTCCAGAATATTCTATGTCTGGCATGTCCCCAATCCCCACCCTCCAACCCTCTCACAAAGCTTTAGGGCCCAGTGCCCAAAGAAAAAAGTCTAAGCTCTTAATGTGGGATGTCCTTGTCCTCTTTCTCAGTGCACAGCTGCAAGGCCAGTCTCAATGCCAGCTCTTCTGTGAAGCTGTCCTTGGCTCTCCCTTCTGTCCTCTTCACTTTGGCCCCTGTTGCTTATATCCCTATTTTGTGCTATTTAGCATTGAATAGTGTTTAATTGACAAAAGGGAATTACCCAAGTGAGAGGAGGCAGGATAAAACCAGGAAGAATGTGAAGCCAGACTGAAAGTGTAGGAGAATAACATCCACTGACGTTTACATCTGTTCTTGCATGCACTGTCTTCTCTGATTCCCACAGCCCTGAAAGGTAGATAGCACAGGCTTTTATCATTAGCCTCATTTAGAGATAAGAAAACTGAAGCTCAATGAAATTAAATAATTTTTCCAAAACCTGTAATTTGCACCACTGAGTTGAACCTATTCATTCATTCTTGTGTTTATTCATTCATTCATTCACTCAATAAATAGTTTTTGAGCTACCACCATGTGCCCAGTACTGTTCCATGTACCACAATAAGGGCTGAAGAACATAGTGGTGAATTATACTAAGCCTTATTTAGTGGGAGAGACAGGAAGTAAATAAATGCATAATATAATGTTACGAAGTGATAGTGCTATGAAGAAATATCCTGCAGGGTAGGAGACAGAGAGTGAGGTGGGGTTCTCTTTTAGGTTGAGTAGTCAGAGATTCTGTATTCCAAGTCCTGGGCTCAGTCCTCTGTTTCAAACTCTGAAGGAAGCTGATGGTCATGACATAGTATGAAGCCTTCTCCTTGCAGATGCTGCCAGAGCTTGGAATATGCACGTCTGGGCACCAGGACACACCCAGCACAAGCTCTCCCCCACAGTCATAGGCTATGCCCAGCTCTCCTGAAACTCCCACAAAGTGGTACTGCCTTACTTAGCTCCACATGTACGCTGTAATCTCCTTAGAGGCAAGAAGCACTTGCACACAGTTTACAGTAAGTACATGCTGATTAATAAATTGATTGATAAAATAAAAGCAATTGAAAGAACTGGGAGATGGTTCTCCTAACTTAATATTCATAAAGATTACAGTCAATTCATTGGAGAGATTCCCAAATCTATGGGCCCTCTGCACAATAAGCCTAGCATCTCCACCATTCCCTGAATCCAAGCAGCTCCCCTTCTACACAAACACTATCGGGTAGCCCAGGGACAAATAGGTCCCACTAGAAAATCGTATCATCCTAGGTTACAGTAATTAAGGCAGCTGTGTCAATTTGTGACGTTTCTGCCAAAATGGGCCCTCTGACATTGCAGGTGGCAGGGGTAGCAGGATTGTGAAAAAGAGACAGCAAAATGGAGAAAGAGAATTAGACCCAAATTATCAATACCAATCAAAGAGTTACTGAGTAATAAATTTACCAGGTGACTGTGAGGTGAATTCTAGGAGTCAGCTTGGTTAGATGAAGGAATGCTGAGAAACCTGGTAAAGCAATCTTTTTAGGTGTGTCCATGAAGGTGTTTCCAGCAGAGATTAGTATGAGAGTCTGAGTGGACTGCGTAGGAAAGACCCACCCTCAGTGTGGGTGGGAACCATCCAATCCGCTGGGGGTCCGGAGAGAACAAAAGACAGAGGAAAATATGAATCTCTCAATCCACTGGAGCTGGGATACACTCTTCTCTCCTGTCCATGGACATCAGAGCTTGAGACTCTTCAGCTTTTGGGTTCGAGGATTTACACCAAGGACATCATCAGCTTCCCTGATCTTAAGGCCTTTGGACTTGGACTGAGCCACCCTACTGGCATCCAGTTTATAGACGACCTATAAACGTGGGACTTTTCTTCACAGTTGCGTGAGCTAATTCCCCTAATAAATCCCTCTCATATAATTATAACGTATCCTATTGATTCTGTCTCTCTGGAGAACCCTGACTCATACAGTGACAAAGACAAAATGAGTTGAGCTACTTTGTTATCTGTTTAATTTCCACAAACACATCTCAGTCACATTTTTATTTTTAAAAAATGAATTTACAGCACCATTGAACATCTTTCACTTTTACAAGGTATACACATGTATATACATTATTGGGGGATTCACATGCAATTATTTATTTAAACATTATGTCTTAAGAGTTTCAACAATTCCCCCAAATGTGAGGATTGCACTTTGACAAAATTGCCTGTGAGGACAAAAGGACAACTTTGAGCAACAGAACTCCACAATACTGTAGCATAACCTCAGACCTCCAGGAAGGGGTCACTCTCCCTTGAAAATCATCCTTTCTGGATTGTTCTCATTAGAATTCAGAGCAGATTCAGTGTCTCTGGCCTGATTTTGTACTAAGAGGTGACAGGTGATCATCTAGCAAACAAAAGTGCCATGTAAACAAAAAAGTCCTGAATAAAACACCTGAAAGAGAAGCATCAGAAAATACATCTGCATTAGCTGAACTCCAAATTCTTAAGAGCATTTAGATTACATTGAGGATTATGGTCTGATGCACATTCCATTTGAGAAACTAGTTTCCTGGGTCAGTAACCTCATTCCTATCTGTGGCCACTTGCGTGTAAAGGAGCCCAAAAGTACAAGTAGGTGTCAGTTTGTCAGGTGAATGACAGAGCTATAAAACAAGTATGCAGTCAGTGATCTTTAATCTAAATCCAAAATCTAAATCAGGTCGTGTTTTCTCATTTTTTCCAAACTAGTCTTTTTTGCAGTCTTTAACTCCAAGAGTGTGAAAACATGTTTAAAAGCAGGATACTTTAAAATCAAGAAATGTATCTTGACCTCTTGGAGAAAATGGATATGATTTGGCAAAGGATTAAGTTAGCTATAAACAGTAAAGGTTTTTTTAACATCTAAACTTGTCATTGCCACTAAGATGAGCTGCTTACCAGAAACTAGTAACAAGAAACATCATCACGTTTAAAACTGATCATTGTAAAAATGAAACCCCAGGATTTGATTGTGCTGATATTAACCAGTCTCCTTTAGTAGTGGGCTTGTCAAATTGAGGATATTGATGAGTTGAGATCATCACAGAATACTGTGTCATAATGGCTGATCCATGTAATAGAATTTATAAGGGCTTTTTTTAAATAATATTTTTTCTTTAAATGTCCAAAGTTCCTATGTAGAGACAACTAGAATTTTTATAAATAGTTTGATCTTGACTTTAAAAATATTTTTTTAAAAGAGCAAATTCTGCAGAATTGATTATATTAAAAGAACTATTGGCTCTGGAGGAGTTTTCACCAACAAGGGTAGTCCTAAACTACCCTTAGTTTTAGCCAGTAGTTCAGAACTAGGGGCAAAACTTTTCCCCAGGGGAAACGTGGCAATGTCCAGAGACATTTTTGGATGTCACACTTAAGGGGATGCTATCCACATCTATGCACAGAGGTCGGGGACACTGCTAAACATCCTGCAATACACAGGACAGCCCCACAGCAGGAATGAGCCAGTTCAAAATGTCAGTTTTGCCAAGATTGAGAAACCCTGGTTTAAGCATAACAAAAGTTCTTACTACCTCACAGAGTAGCTGTCTCATAATCCAAAATCTACCTCAGTGATTCCCTTGACATTCAAAACACCCATTCCTACTGAACTTTGGAGTTCCTGATCTTTCTGATTTACCACCACTACAGTTTGTTCAGGGAGTGGCAAAAAAAAAAGTAACTAAATATGAAGAATATTTTTTAATTCTTCCTCAAATAATATCTCTCTATTAATATTTTATCAAAAATTCAGAGGGATTATATTTTTTCTGTCAACAATGGAGCCTGGTAGCCCTTCTGGGTATTTATAATGGTCAAATATCATGAAAAAAAATTAAGCTGTATTTTCAAAAACAAAGTTGGAAGTTGGAAAATGAAGCAGACATAATACTTCCTATTGCTGGTGCTGAAATGATGTGGAAAGGACTCTTTCTATAGAAATAAAAGGGCAGAAGGGCAGTAAAAGTGCTAGAAGGTAGAGTGCCAGGTTAGTATGCAGGTAGTGGGCCTGGCCTGACCCACAAAGGAAGCCATAGGCATTTAAAAAAAATATTTTCAATTGAAAAAAAAAAAAAAAAAGAGGGGATTCTGGAATTAACCTAAACACACGGGAACACAAACTGAGTGGCAGTGTTTTTGTAAACTCGAAGAAAGGCAGAACAATTAAAAGGAGAGTAAAACCCAAGTAAAAAATGCATACGGCAGGCTTCACAGCACTGGCGGTAGCACATGCAACCTGTGCAGCACAGCACACCACCGCTGCACTTGCTTGGCTTGGATGCACGCTGAGGAATGCATGCAGCCAAACTGTCTTAGAAACGTGTTACTTCATTGACTGTAGTTCACAATTTGGTATGTTTATAAATGTGTAATCAAGATACTTTTCTGAGTTTAGATTTAATTATATTGGAATTAAGTGCCTTTTTCTTTCCAGAAAAATACTTTAGAGATTGATTAAAGAATATCGTTTGGATATAAACTAATATGTATTCCTTTAGCCAGTTGCACAAAAACTGTGAATTATAATTTTTCCCTTTTAATAAAGGCAGAACGATGTAAAATCAAATTAGACCTTCAAATTTAGAAGTAGGAGACAAATTTCTTTGGCTCTAGCTAAGGCATCTCAACCAATATTTATGCAGAAGAATTTGGCTCACTTATCTCTACGGTGAGTTTCTTACAGACTCCTCTGGTTTGTGTGACTATATGCCACACTTTTAATATTAAAAATAGAAATGTTGTCTTATTTTTTACCCTTGTTCTAACTTATAATATGCATATAACCTAGCCCAAAACACTTCTAGAGACTAAAAACATTTTTAGGCATTTTTCTATTTACCTAACTCATGGTCAATTTAAACGCAGATAATACATTTTCAAGGAATAAAGAATTTCCTGTACTACTGATCATAGGTGTTTATTTACTTCAGCCTTCCAATTTAGGACCAAGATAATTTTTTTAAACAATGTTTGTGCTGAAAAATGTGGATACTGTTTCTGTTATCAGCTGAGCATTTCTGATAAACTCTGTACAGATTCTAAACAGGACTCAAAGCTTACAGCCTAAGAGTTGATCATTTTCACAGTCAATCTTGCAACCTATTGAACAAGATATTAGTCCTCTAGTGAGGTACCTCCCATTTTCTCATACCTATGAAACTTTTGATTTCAATATTGGCACCTAAACAATGTGTTAAATACATGACAGAGGCTTCTGCACTATTAACCTAGTTTGGTTATGGGTCTGAATCAGATTACAACAAATTTATTTGAACTTGGTAATATGGGTCAGAGACATAAAATTCTAAGCTCCTCAAAACACATTAAAGACAGGAGTTAAATTAATTCTCATTTTTCCCTTGGACATCAACTTTTCCATCATGTTACTGATTGGCAGCTAGAATAAATACTTTAAAATATGTCTAATTAAATCAACTACAATGTATTTTGAGAAGTAAAATTTTAAAAATAAATAAAATAAAATATGTCTAATTAAAGAAAGGGCAATCTAGCTTATTTATTTTGCAGGAATGAACACTCAATGTCATATATTCTCCTATCCCAGGAATACTCATTTTTTCCTGGTAAATGCTGCATAGATCAATGTGATCACAAAAAAGAGAACTCAAAGGAATTTGGACAAATAAGTAAATCATTATCAAAGCAATAAACAAAAACAGCCCCAACTGGACTGACTCTAAAAGGCAGTATATAAGTACTATTGACCATACTTCCAAGTGAAATAAAATGTGTTCTCTATTTGAACATGTGGAACACCCTACAGCTGCAGTTCAGTTCACAGCAGGAAGTAAACATGTTATCTCACCTTGCAAAATGAAGAAACAGTCAAAAACCATCTTCTACCTCCTCCCAACTCTACCTCCTCTAATGTTCTGAGAACATTTTCTACCTTCATAGGTATTCATTTTACATTTATTCAAAAATGGATCAAAGATTTTAAAAAAAACATTTCTGCAGTGCCAGGAATACCTAACTTTTCTTTTTTATGATCTTCAAAGGGAATGGGGGAAATATAGCTATTATGTATGATACTTTAGTTTTTTCGATGTACTTAGGCTATAAGCTCACCTGAGAGTCAGCTAGAAGTTGTAATCAGTTTAAAAGCAAGAATCCTGTGTCCACAATCATTGAGTCCCAGCCTTCAGTGTCCCTGACATATTCACTAGTGCAGTTTGCTCGAGACACCCAGGGTAATGGAAAGGAGTCATCAGTCATAAAAATTAACAGACATGCTGAACTACAATCCCAAAGAGCCCTGCTGAATACACAGAGTGCACCCCATGAGTTTGGTCAGAGACTACAACCCACAACGCTCCTTCCACAAGTCAAGCTGGTGATTCCAAATCAGACTTGTCTATACAGTCTGATTATGTCAGTACCAGATTAAAAATGTGTGCTGTTTACATAACATTGGTCCTCCTGAGTTTTGTTAAAAGCTTGTCCGTGGTCACTCAGACAGCTGTCCAAAGACACTTCAATAGCAACTTCTGTGGTATCTCTTCTACTGAGGCCATTACTTCGGTGTGCATCTAGAGGGGGGCTGCCATTGTGCTCAGTACAGCCATTGACGTGGGCCAGAGGCAGTGCCCTGGGGGGACAGCACAGCTGCATGGCACAGTCCTTGGAGATGCAGGGTGAGCTGCACTGCAACAGTAAGTCCTTCTGCTCCAGGGTTTCCTTCAAGTCCACAGGCTCAAACTGGATGGTCACACTGTGGATTCCCGCATTGTGGAAGATTTCTCTAATTTTGATGCTGGCATCCTGATATCCCCTGTCCTTCTGGTACTTGATGTGCAAGGTGGCAATGATCTTTCCACTTACAAGTTCCCAGATGTGCACTTCATGTACACTGCTGACTCCAGGCATGGCAGAGAGTTTGCTCACTGCAATAGAGAAGAGCAAACCACAGCCAAGGTGAGCGCTAGAACCAAATTGTGGGACTACAGTAGGCATGTGCTCCCTGACGCATTCTCACCAAAATACCTGTGGACTCACAAAGAAGAGCAGGAAGGAAAAAGAGCCATACCTATATGGGTACATTTTCCCATAATCTTTCTTCTCTCTGAATTCTCATGCCACATATTGTGAGCTCACAAAAAGTAATTCAAGGAAATAAGTATAACAACAACAAGAAAAAAATCCCCAGACTGTTGAGTATAAAAGGGAATGGACATTCCAATGGACTTCTGGTGGAAGTAGAATGCCTTTTTTAAAAGGGATAATTTGGGGGCCAGCCCCATGGCTCACTCGGGAGAGTGCAGCGCTGGCAGCACCGTGGCCGCAGGTTTGGATCCTATATAGGGATGGCCGGTGCACTCACTGGCTGAGCGTGGTGCAGACCACACCATGCTGAGGGTTGCGATCCCCTTACCAGTCAAAAAATAAAAGGGATAATTTGGCAATATGGATCAAAAACCTTTACCAGCAATTCTAGTACTATGAATTTAACCTAAAGGTAACAACCAAATATTTGTGTACAAGAGGGGTTTGGGCAACACTGTTTGTATTAATAAAAAAAATGGAAACAAGGAAATAGTTAAATCAACTATATAATGGAATTTTATACAGCTGTTAAGTAAGTTGCATATTTAAGGATATGAGAAAATGTACATAAGGTATTTTTAAGTGAAAAAGCAAATAGCTAAACTGTACATATGGCATGATCTCTTTTTTTAACAGTGTATGTAAAAGAAAATGTTAACAGTGATACCTTCTCTGGTCAGATTATGAGAGATCTCTGTTTTCTTATTTAATATTGTCTGTATTTCCCATACTTTCTAAAATGAGTGTGTGTTTAGAGATGGTACTGAATAGTGATAATGAGCAAAGAGCCTGCAGCCAGCAAGAGTCTGAATCCCAGTCTAGTCATTTACTGCATACATGGTCTCAGGCAATTTACCCAGCCCCTCTGCGTCTTGGGTGTTCTTATCTGTAAATTAGGAATGATAATAATAGTACCTTATAGCATTATTTTAAGGATTAAAATGAGTCAAAGTAAGTAAAGCACTTACAGCAGTACCTAGCATGGAGTAAATGCCTTACAAGTGTTGCTATTGTTACTATTTTTTTAAATATAGATTATTTTATTAAAAGAGATAGCCAGCACATATCATGAGTTGTTTTGCATGTGTTCATCTTGTGTCCTCCACTGGAAAACTAACCAGGGAAGGCGAAGACGCTGCTACACGTCTGCTCCTCTGTGTCTGCTCCCCTCGCACCACCTCCTCTGCCTGCAGCACTGGGCAGCATATGAGAGATATGACTTGCATGCCCACAAAGGTCAATGAACTGGAAAGTGGGATCTGTAATATGAGTGATTCATGTTTTCAGAATAAGGACAATAAAAATAAAGCTCTTGGCAGAAGTGGCCTTGTTTGAGCTAAGTTAAATCTTTGATACAAAGGTAAATAGCCCATGGATAGGTATTGCCCAAGTATTCCATTCTCAAAAATTTGCAGTTGAGTCAGAGAATCATGCATTGCAAAGGACCTTTGGTTCATGGAGCTGTGAGTCATCTTACTAGGCTTCAAAACACATGACGTCTCTATCACCTGGTGCTTTAAAGTATTTCAGAACACATAAATGAAACACTGCTCTGAAATAATGCTGGCCCTTTGGCCTGAATAACATTAAATCAACAGTGGTTCTAGATCAGAACCCACTCTACTTACTCAGCTCTTCCATGTTGACTCCTTTGGGGACCATCTGCAGCAGAATGGCAGCAGTCTCCTTGATCAGTGGGAAGGCAGATGACAAAATGATGATGACCATAATGATAGTCAGGCTGGGGTCAATGTAGCACTGCCAGTTACATGGGTCCTCACTTTTCAGGGGAAGCACATAGAATATGATGGCCGTGATGACCACCACCACGGACCCCAGGGCGTCTCCCATCACATGCAAAAGTACACCTGCCAGGAAGAAAGAAAGACCACCGCTACAGCACAGATCCACGTTTGGTAGCCACGTGATACTCAGTGACTCAGATTGCCTAATATCTAACTACCTGTTGCCATTTGTTTTTCTTTGGGCTCAAATGAAAAACAATGGCAACAGCCTTTCAGAAAACAAAACCCCAGGCCTCACCTCAGGGCTCGGAGGACCTGGGAAGAGGAGCAGCCTAGGAAGATTCTGAGCTCCTGTCACCTGCAGGAAGAGTGACTGTGCCATCTTAGAGTGCTACCACCCACCACCCATCGAAGGGCACCAAGCTGGGAAACAGAGGCTGTGCAAATGATTTCTTCTTTCAGACTAGTATCTGGCCTTTAAATGAGCTTAAACATGTTTAAGAGTAGAGGGAACTAAGATATAGCAAAAGAGTGATTATTTTTATTCTCTGTCTCTCTTCTTCCCTGATCCCCTTCCCCCTTCCCTGCAGGCATTTGTCCACTTCTCACTTAGCCTGTGGTCATTTAAAAGACATTTGGTTTAAGAGGGCCTCAAGAACAGGGACTCTAGCAATGTTTCCACTGCATAAAGAGCCATGTGTCACAATAAGACAAAATTAAAATTCTGCAGATAATAATAAAAACTGTGGGTGCCTTTAATTAAAGGAACTGTTTCTAAAGGTATTGATTATGATATAGAAAACATGCAATCTCAGCAAAGAAGATCTGCTTGCCCAATTGTGAGACATAAACTAAACTGGGAATTTCGTAAATTAGGTGACAGTCTGGTAGAGGGATTATAAAATATAAACACAAATTATTTTTTTTACAGAAAGCAACATTAGAGTCTTGCTATTCACAGTATGGTTTGCAGACCAGTCTCATCAGCATCACCTGTGAGCATGTCAGAAATGCAGAATCTCAGGCCCACCTCAGATCTATTGAATCTGAATCTGTAGTTTAACAAGATCCCCAAGTGATTTGAATGCCCACTAGTTTGCAGAGCACTGCTCTGAAAGGAAGCATATATGTGAAGAAAGGTTGGCTTTGTCTCTCCACATATTCCACAGATTCATTCAGTAGAATTAATAATAATCCAAGTTACTAACAACTCACTCATGGCTAAGACTGAACAGTCTCACTTGCAAGGTACTTTAGCTGGGCTAATTTCTCCTCTTGGCAACACGTCCAGGATTCTGAGTAACATCATAGGTAAAATGGCATTCTGTAAACATACTAAATGTAATTAGTGGCAACCTTTCCCCCAAAAAAATACAGGAATAAAAAGAATCCCCACATTTCCTTTTGGCTAAATGTTTACTTATGGTAATAAGATCCTGATTCGGTACATACATTAAACATTCCCATTTCTAATCCTGTACCCCCTATTCCCCCACCCCACCCCCAAAAGTGCTTCTTTACTCCTCCGTCCTTGTCCTGAGCCACAGAAGGGAAACTCAAAACTTGCCCAAGAGTTGTTCTACACACCTTGTTCCTCTAGGAAGAACTCAGGAGAGAAGCTTTAATGTCCTTCATGGTACAAAATGCTACCATGAAATTATGAAAACCTACTGTTTTCTGCATGCACTTGACTTCACTTTCACTGCTGAGACAGACTGCTGTTCTCTGACTGTCTCATTCGCGTTAGCCTCATTTCCTCCATCATAGCATCAGAGTTACCCTGCATTTCCCTTTTTATATCACAGCACTGGAGGCATGCAGTGCAGGCATTCCATAGAACAGTATTTTCTGGTTGATTAAGTCACCACTCCCATGACGCAGAGAAACTCCTGTATTTTATTTAACAATGATAATAATTGTAATGCCAACCAACATGCATGCACCAGGCATTGCTTTAAACTTATTTACACATTAAGTCTTCTTAAGGACTCTGCGAGATGGTTACTCTGTTTATTTGGCAAATGAGGAAACCGAGGCACAGAGTGGCTAAGTAATTTGTCCAAGGTCACATGGCTAGAAAGTATTAGAGTGGAGACAGAAGTATGGGAAGTCTGTCTGAAGAACCACTGTGCATCCTGTCTCATATACCAAATTCCAATTTCAGTTTCCTTCTGAGAAATACCACTAAGAACTATATAAAATAGTAGCTTTCAAACTTGTTTTTCCCATAATCTACAGTAAGAATTATGTTTGGTATCCTAGCACACACAGACACAAATTGAAGCAAATGATTCATGAGAAAGCAAAATCTACCCTTACATATGATATATTACTATTTTCTATTCTATTTAATTCTAATTAGAAATTCTAATTAATTTTCTAAATGCTGATCATACTCTTCTAAATTGATTTTAGGACCCAAACTGTCAAGACCTTCAGACTGAAAAACTGTTAAAAGCAACAACACACTAAATTCAACCTCTCTGGGCAGCAAGAGTCTCATCTGTGAGATGGGGATGATAATACCTGCCTCATTCCCTCAGAGACTAGTTCTGAAGAGCATGTGAAACACATCTGGACACCCTCTGAGCACTGCCCGGGAGGGCATAATAATAGGCATCACTTGCTAAGTGGGCCCTCTGCACTGTTCCAAGCACCCTGTAATTCCCCCTACAGCCCACTGATGCTGGTACTATTATCTCCATTACATAGATGAGGGGAATGAAGCTCCAAGAGGTTAAGTTACTTGTCCAATGTCACCTAGTTAGTAAATGGCAGAGGCAGAATCAACCAGATCTACGTGACTATGGAATCTAAGCACTTCTTGGTTAGCTGAATTGGTTAGAGTGCAATATTATCACACCAAGATCAAGGATCCAGATCCCCATACTGGCCAGCCACCAAAAACAAATAAGCACTTCTCACCTCCCTGTATTTGTGCATTAAATTTTAGGGGTGGAGGGGAGGAGATGGTGAAGGGCAGGAGTGGGGGTGGCGAGGCAGTGAAGGAGTGAAGAGAAGGGCGGAAATATCTACAGAGGAGTGTGGGCTCCTGAATGGCAAGCCCTGGTATGTCAGCAGTGGTTAGACCTTATTGGGATGCAGTAAAGGTTTCTGAGTAGACTCTGATGTGATCAGAAAGATAAACTGGCAGCATTATCTGCGAAACAAAGACCACCACTTAGTAGCCAACTCAATCACTTCATTAGTCACAATGCACACAAGACAGGAGTGAAGAGAAGGGCGGAAATATCTACAGAGGAGTGTGGGCTCCTGAATGGCAAGCCCTGGTATGTCAACAGTGGTTAGACCTTATTGGGATGCAGTAAAGGTTTCTGAGTAGACTCTGATGTGATCAGAAAGATAAACTGGCAGCATTATCTGTGAAACAAAGACCACCACTTAGTAGCCAACTCAATCACTTCATTAGTCACAATGCACACAAGATAAAGACAGGAAACTTCTGCACTTAGCCATCACTTGCTGTCTTTAGATACAAACAAAACCCCCAAAAGCTTGGCATATAATATGACTTGGTAATGTGACATGAGCTGAAATTTGATGTGTCCCAGCACTTGGAGAAGCCATCAATGCTGTTGACTTTGTTGAATAACTAGAAACACAGTGCATTTGCACTGGGCATTTATCAGTAGTTATGAGAGAATGAGATCTTCCTTACAGGAAAAATAGCAAGAATTATAAAGAAACATCTCATCAAAGGAGATTTATTTTCAAGTGATGTCAGGATTGCTATTCATCTATTTATGTTTAGACTGAAATAAAAAGGGCTAATTGTCTTTCTGACACTCTGTTGCAATATTTTTAATGTATCATATTTGATCCCATTAAATAAGACTGACCACTACAAAGCACATTGATGAGAATTTTAAAAGGATTGTCTCTTCACTGTACTTTGTAATACAAGACGAGGTGTTTCTAAGAACTCATTTTTTTATTCCCATTGGAATAAGAGAAACAGTAATGAAAATTAAGAGCTCCAATAACTTTGGACTAAAAATTAGCAAGATCAAACAAGTTTCTCAAGCAAGGACACAATATGTATTGAGGCATATTCTTCATTCTTCTCTGCTTCTTTCCACCTACCTGTTCTCTTTCTCAACTTTGTAACATAAGAATGAAGATAATTAACAGAACATGTTTTGAAAAGTTCAAGTGTTATGATGATAAACTCCACTTAAAAAGCTAGTTTCTCCCCCCACATGTATGTTTGTGTGTGTACATATATATATACACACATACACACATATGTGTGTATATATATATATAAACTGAACCTAAAAAGAAAGATAAATTAAAGGATGATAATTTTTCATTAGATTCTCTTTCCAAAAAGATTCACTACCAAGTTCTTCAGAAAAGCAAATTTCCCTATTGTATTTAATCTTTTTTAATTAATTCAGTTAGAAATTGTTAGAAGCACATGTGTTGTGTGCTGTTGTTTTTGTTGTTGTTTTCTGAATTTTTTCCCTGTAGGTCCACTCTGGGAGTCACTTTGTAAAACAGCTGTGAGGCTTTCAAAAATAAAGGCATCTCCTGGATTATTAGTTTTTCTTTATATTATTTTCATCTAAGCCCCACTCCAGGCTTCCCCAAACCACACAAAAAGACAAAGGGTTGCTTAATCTTTGTTGAACTTCTGAAAGTCAAGATTGGGGATTACCCCTTCCAGAATTACTCTGGAGCAAAGTCTGTGCCCAAGAAGTTGGGAAAGAGAAATGTTGGATACAACTGTGTCCAGTGAGAAACCCACCATGGAACCCTCTGGGCTGACTTTAGCCCAGTACTCCTGACCTTGAGCACACGATGAGAGGAATGCTAACTAGATGCGTTCCACAGGCCTCACCAGAACCCCGACTCTGGGCCTGGAAGTGGAGGTTTCAGTGAACCAACAGTCAGTCCCTCCACAAAAGCAGGCTTCTGGTATAACAACTGAGGCAATAGGGTCATTCAGCAGTGCCACATAGGGGATAACCTTGGCTAGCAGCCCACCTATTCTTTTCCCACCTTTATCAAAATCACATTTAATTACAGTAGGCTGCACTGTATGTTAGCAACATCCATGGATGGGCAAAATCAAGTAAAGTAGTAACATGGCACTGATATGCAGAGCTCTGGGGCAGGCAGCATTAGTATGGGTCTAAGTGGAGAAAAGATCGATCATTAGCAACTAATTTCTCCCCCAGAACTGATGCAGTGATTAGGCAAGAGAATAAGGTCATGGTCTATGCATGTCACTGGCCTACTTTCAAACACACCGTTGCCTTATTAAAAGTCAAGCAGAAATGAAGGGTACAGCATCAAGTTAGTACAAAGTCAATCCTACCTCTGATATTCAGGGCTTCGGACTTTTTCTCCTTTCTCATAGTCTCTTCAGGCTCATTGTGAGTATTCAGGGAATCACCTGCATTCAAAGAAGAAACCTTGTGTTGTGTATGAGTTCTACAAACAAAAAGAACCAATAGACTCAAAATGAAGTTCTGTTACTTTAAATTCCTACTAGCTTATGGGAAATCCTACTTCTGCACACACACAGCCCAGCACAGTACACTTTGGCCTCATATTAGCCTCGCGTCAAGCCTCACAGACCCTCCCTATGCCTAGGTGGGATTCACCCAAAGACCTGCTCTCCAGGCCTTCCGGGTCGCCCGTGCCCTGTTGATTCACAGGGATGAGGACCTTGACGGCTGAGGGCGTGTTCGCAGCGGGGACGTGGACACCGGCACGTATGTGCCCGGGCGCTGCTGGCAGGACAGAGTTCACATTCGCCCGGTGCAAGGCCCAGGGCACTCACTCGGGCCAAGCCTGCCCTGACGGTGCTTTCTGCCCCTCGTGTAGTTAAATTTACGTTCATCCGCACCTAGCACCCCGCACCCCACTGTCCACTCCCACCCGTGGTAAAGCCGTCTCATCCTCCTGTCCTCGCAGCCTTCATAAAGGATGCATGATCGTTTCTGTTCCCACCTCATGGCACGGTGTCGTCCCTGTGCCCCTTCAGGATTTTACCATCAAGGCCTCCTTCCGCAGGTGAACCGCAGGCAGCCCTCAGGAGAGCCCAGATCAGCTCCCGCCCAGCGCCCGACGGCCGCTTTACTCTGTGGTAGAAACAAGTCCCTTGCCACCCAAGAAGCCAGGATGGCCTTCTCTGTGTATGTGTCTCATTCTCCACTGGAGAGAAACTTCTACTCAACTCCGTGTGTCTCTCACAGCACGACCTGACACTCTTAGGTCAATTGACTGACTTACATGAAGGTTTATTCCAAATACATACTCTCCTGTTGACAACAGGCTCTGTTCCAAGTAAAAGTTATCCAGAAGGGGCCGAGCCCGTGGCGCACTCAGGAGAGTGTGGCACTGGGAGTGCAGCAGTGCTCCCCCAGCGGTTCGGATCCTATATAGGGATGACCGGTGCGCTCACAGCGCTCACTGGCTGAGCGCGGTGTGGCCGGTCTCAAAAAGGACCCAAAAAAAAAAAAAACGTTATCCAGAAGGAAACTGTCTCCAGGACTCTGGGAGAAGCTGAGGAACAGACCCTGAAGAAGGGTGTCAATTCGGGGAGGGGCGTGGGGGAGCCCTCTCGGTTTCTTTGTTGGTTTGTTTTTTGTTTTGTTTTGTTTTGTTTTTTTCCTTTTTGTCTTTTTTACTGACCGGTAACGGGATCGCAACCCTCGGTGTCGGCCTGTACCGGGGACCGGCAACGGGATTGCAACCTTTGGTGTTGCGCCCGCTCCGCGCTCAGCCAGTGAGCGGCAACCGGTCTCCACATGGCCTGTACCGGGGACCGGCAACGGGATCGCAACCTTTGGTGTTGCGCCCGCTCCGCGCTCAGCCAGTGAGCGGCAACCGGTCTCCACATGGGATCCAAACCCTCGGCAGGAGTTCCTGCGCACTTTCCAGTGCGCCACCTGGCCGGCCCCTTGTTTTTGTTTTATACTCTTATTTCAGGAAGGATCTGAAGGTGAGGTCTGGTCATCTCTGTTCTCCCTCCCCATCCCCAACCCCACAACTTTAACCATTCCTGAAAAAAACACATCTGTTTCTGGCTTGGAAATAAATAAAAATGTCTCACTCAAAAAAAGCTACATTATTCGTTAGTAAAACATTCTAATTTCTAATCCCATTTATTTTCTTAGCCTTGTAAAACATAATCTTGCCTTTTAATAATCTCTGAGCATCCATAACAATCATGCTAAAGCACCCTTGATCTGAGAGTCCCACTTTATACCAGATGAGCCTCCAAATTCAGTGAGCTCATTAAACATTCACCCCTCCAGGAAAATACTCCTACACTGAGAACTTGAGGAAATGGATCACTTAAAGTATTCTCTAAGTATGAGTATAATTTTGATCAATAATATAGAAGTAAGAAGATCTAGACTGATGAAAGTTTTGAAGCCGTGTGGCCTTGGACAAGTTCCCTAATCATCTGGGCCTGTTTTCACTACTGTAAAATGGGAATAATAGTATAGTAAGGATTAAATGAGTCAATATGTGTAAAGAGCTTATAACAGTGCCTGGTACATAGTAAGCACTCAATAAGTGTTAACTACTGTTATTATCATTAGTATTATTAGTAGTAATACTTCAAACCGTGAAACTTCCAAAAATTTAACAAAGGACAGCAAGCAAAGCAGTGAAAATAAGTGAGCCAGGCCTTTTGGAACTCACTTGACAGGGCTAAAGTGTTCCTTGCTAACTGCATTTCTTTGTTATTCACAACTGAAAGAAAAACCTGGTATCAGCAGATTGCCCAGTCATTCTCCTAGACAAGGCAGATAACAAGGATTGTGTCACTGCCCCGGGAGCACAGTCAATGGAACTAGAAAGCCAGTGGCCAAGGAAGCACAGGAGTAGGCTGTGTCTGAGATACCTTGCCTGGGGTCCGGTTCCTGACTTTAAGAAAGGATAAGAGTAGCTAGATAGTACCAAGGACATGCACTATTGAAAAATGTTTTGACTCTGAAAAAAAGTTATAAATACATAAATTTTTAAAAATATATAAAATACATATATAAATTAAGTATATATTAAATGTCTCGCATATATAAAATCTAAGTTAATTGATAGAAATTTAGGCTGCGTTTTATACTTTACAGTAAATTACGAGGTTTCTATAGCTTTTGTTTATTGAGCTCTGACTCTGTCAAGCCCTGTACTGAGTACTTTATAGGCATTATCTCATTTCATCCTCACAACAGCCCCATAAATAAGTACTATTTTATAAGTGAAGAACCTGAAGCCCAGAGATTTTAAGTTAATTTACCCAAGATCACACAATCTGTAAATGATATACTCGAGATGGGATTTAGGCATCAAACTCTAGAGCTTATATTCTTCACCCCCACATTGTACTAATTTAATAATTTTTAACACTTTTGTTCTAAATAAATGAAAAAAATTTTAAGTTCACCTTTTATTGGTACAAAACTTATCATGCTAAAATTCATAAATTCAGAGATTATGACACTAAAAATCCTTTCTACACTGGTATTTGACCCAGAAATTAACAAACCATTATTTTTTTAGAAATTGAAAAGCAGCTGTTTTTGTTTTAATTTTTTAGTTCCACTTGACAAGAGATAGTGTTCCCTTCAGGGAAGAGAATGAACATCTCGTCCAAAGCACCAAATTCTCATTTAAAAGGTGAGGAAGCTCTTTTCCCCATAGAAAAATCTGGAGGCTCCTAGATTTTGAATACATCATCAAAAGATGGAGACTTCTCATCATTAGCCCAGCTCCAAACATGCAGAGCATACAATAATGTGAAGACTTTACAAAAGAAAATCCCTTCTCCAAATAGCTGAGGAATCCTGTGTTCAAAGTCAGTTCTTCATTGGTGAATTTGTATACTATGTGTATTTGTAACACTTTGGCTATACAAACGTACTTTTTTTACCCCCAAATTATGCATACATTTTGACATTTTTCAGGATACATTAGATTTAAGAGACTCTTGATTTGAGGTGGTTCCCATTCTTTTTTTTTTTTTTTTATGATAGAGGCATGAGATGTGAAAAAAGGCAGAAACTAAGTCGTGGCCAACCCCACTTTGAATGGGCTGTTGATAAGGAAGAGATAGGCAGCGGTGCTGTGAGTTTCCAGCCACCTAGAAGGCTCATTCTTAGAGAAGCAGCGCTAATAAGAATTTAGAGCTGTACCCATCAGCCTGCTGAGTGCCGTTACCTAAAGGCACCTCTATGGTTCTCCAGAATGCCACTTATTCTTGCAACGAAGGAGTATGTCTGCTACCAATGCTAGCTCAGGAAGTGATAAGAACACAAGTCCCACCATGCAACAAATGATGCAACCTGTTTATTGAGAAAACATCAGACTCTGGATAATTTTAATTTTGCACTCAAGTTAAGAAACCTTGAAAGGCACAGTAGCGTAGGAGTTAATAATTTGAGCTTTGGAGTCAGGCACACTTGGCACTTAATTGGAGCTCTACTACTTGCTTGCTACTGCTCATGTGACCTGGGACAAGTTCCTTACACCTTTTTCTTCATCTGTGAAAAAAGGATAGTAATAGTATCTACTGCATGGGGTTGTCGAGAGACTTCAGTGAGGAAACACACATGAATTGCTTAGTGTAGTACCAGGGTCAAAAGAAACGCTCAATAAGCATTAACCAAAACTAACCACCACCTTGAGTTTTAAATCCAAGCTTAGGGAGGGGGGAATATTTCCTTTCACTGAAAGATTCACAGAAGGGTTACTTTTAGAGATAATACACATTTAAGGATTTGTTTACAGTCTCATCTAAGGAGCAGTGAAACTTAATGCAGACATAAGATAAAACGTTTTTAAGTTCCTGCAGCTGGAAGTGAAATACAGTTTGAATGACAATACTTCCACTATAGAAAACATAGGAACCCAGGTTACTGATTGTCGAGTGCACATGTGTAAAAGAATGACATCAACTTTTATATAGCAACAAGGATGATGTGTTTTTTTCCTCAAAGTCTTTCAGAATAGATTAAATTTAAGAGATTCTTTACTTGAGGTGACCACTCTTTTTTTTTTATAGTAGATGCATAAGATCTGAAAAAAGATAAAATGTGGGTAGTGGTCAACACCACTTTGAATCAGCTGTTGATAAAGGAGAAATACTCCTTGGGGCCATTAGATGCATTTGAGAGTAAGAGGCCATGTCATCTGGGGCAGTTTGTTGTTATAGACACCGTAGCTCTGCTGTATGTGTCTCTTACCATCTCCAGGTCACACGGACAGCCCCAGAGACTCCCTGATGGGGAACCCTGTGCTTGAGGTTGGGTAAGTGAAAACATGAAAATGAGAAGGGGATATCGCAATTAGGAAGAATGGAGGAAAGGGTTAGAAGCAGAACTGGGAGTTTAAGAAACACCTCTCATTCAAAGTTCATCATCACTTTCTGATATCATTTGGGG